AAGATAAAAACACAATTTCATGATCTCCTTAGAAGGAAGAAACTGAAAGCTACCATTCTAAAGTTTGGATTGGGACTAGAAGCCCAGGAAGCCAGGTAGAGGCAACTTCAAAACTGCTAGTGAGCAATGTATGGGGGTTGCGGGGAGAGAGAACCAAGAGACAAAAGAAAAAAAAAAGAGCTTATGATCAACATTAACCTACCCCTCCCCCCATCTAAACCACAGCAAAAAACCTAATGTTTACAAAAACCACCAACAAAGTTAATCATTGGAACATTCACTCCAGGTGAATTTGGTTTTATAGAATTGCCTGACAATGACTTCAACAAGAGTATGTTTACATTGCTCAGAGATAATAAAATATATCTATAAAAGAAATGATTAAATAAAAACAGAGCAGTAAGGGTAAGTGATAAAGAAGCAAACAAATCTAAAAAAAAATCTAAAAAATGAAAAAATATGTTCACTGATGTAAAAATGCAATAGATAGAATAATTTAAGATTGGGCAGTTTCAAGGAGAGGATTATGTGAGTTACAAGTAAATGTTAAGAAATTTACTTAGAATACAAATCACAGAAAGTAAATTTTTAGAAAATTAAAGAGCAGCTGAGATTGGGTAAATTGACTAGGAAACACCAATATATATCTTATAAGAATCCCAAAAGAAAATGAAGGAAGTGACAATAAAACAATAAAGGAAAAGAAAATAGCTGAGAATTTTCCAGAATTAGAGCCCTGAGATTAGGAAGATTAGAAAGTATATCCTGAATTCATAGTAAATAATTCAAAATAATTCAACATCTAGACATATTTCAGAAGAACTGTCTGAATGATAACTTACAGAACAGTCTAAGATATAATTGAGTAATATCTTCAAATGCTGAGCAAAAATTCCAAGATAAATTGTTATTTAATATTAAAGATAAAAATACAGATACTTTTAGATATACAAAATGAATGTACCTCCCAGGCTCCATCCTAGAGAATTACTACAAGATGTAATTCAGCAAAAAGAAAGGAAGCCATAGGCTCCAAGAATAATGGTTGCCACAGTAATAACTAAAATATATGAGTAAATACAATTATTGACTATAAAAATCAATGAAAACCACTTCTGTATATGTTTAAAACAAATAGGTAAAACTAAACCTTCATTCTATAGTTGTATAACAATACTGATACTTAGAAAGTAGATAAAACATGCTAAGCACCATTTTTTTCATTAAAGAGAAGGCCAGAAATACTACAAAGTGAATTTTACTTTTTATTAGAAAAACATGTAGTTAGGTATACATATAAAAATGTTAGCATGATCACTAAAGAAACAGATAAATCACCTATAGATTTTAAGTCCAGTTAAAACCTATGTACCAGGTCACAAAAAAATCTCAAAAAATCGTTTTCACTTAAAACCATATAGAACAATTCCTTTCATTATAATGCCATTATAGTCAGAACAGCAATAGATATAGAGCAAATATGTGTTTAGGAAGTGAAAACACACACTTCTAAATCACTCAAGGGGTAAAAATGAATCAAAGCAGACATTATAAAATATTTAAAACTGAACAAAACTGTGAATCAAAACATATTATGCAGCTAACCAGGAACTTAAAGAATTTAGAGACTAAAATTCATTTTTAAAAATAATAAAAACACATTGAATTTAAATGAGTAATAATTAAACTTAGTAACCTAAGGGGGGAAATGGTCTACATTGTAAGGAAGTAGAATGAAGAAAACAATGTTGATAAAAGCAGAAAGTAACAATATCAAATACAAAGACACAATAAAGTAGAAAAGCAAAAATCAAAAGCCATATTTTGAAAGAAGCGAACAGAATAATGTCTAACACCTAGTAAAGGGACAGAAAAGGCTCAGATGAATAATCTTAGGAATAAGAGGGGGTCAATAGAGATAAAATAAAAAATCATCAGACTGTTATAAACAGTTTTATGCCAATAAATGTCAAAGTGCAGATTAACTGTTAATTGTACACTTCTCTAAAAAAAAAAACAACACACACACAAAACAACAAAAGCTTCCCAAAACTGACTTAAGAAACAAACCAATAACCATGGAAATAGTTGGACTGATAATCAAAATTCACTCTACATTACCTATCCCCTAATTAATGGAGAATGTCAGGTCCAAATGATTTTAGAGGCACGTTTAACCAAATCTTTAAAACAGGTAATTCTTATAACATAAAAAACAGTTTCAGAAATATAAAAAAAAAGCAATGTGCCTCACCTTATTTTATGAGGCTACTACTACCATGATACCATAACTCTACAATAACAGTTAAAAACTTAAAAAGCTAATCTCCCATGCAAAAATTCTACATAAAATATCAGCTACTTAAACTCCACAGTGGATCAAAAAACACACCAAGACCAAGTAAGTTTTTCTCCAGGAATGTAAAATATGTTTAATATCACAAAATGTATTAATATCATATAAAATATTAACATATTAATGGGAAATTTTATTATTTTGTCAATGCAGAAAATGCATTAGATATTATGATAAAAATGCTAGCTTTTTATAGAGGTTGAGAATCTCTTAACACAATAATTTTTATTTATTAAACTCCTTAAGCAAATATCACATTTTCAAAACATTTTTATTACAGTAAGAAACAGAACAGATATTCCTAGTATGATAGTTTCTATTCAACACTGTATAGAGGTCTTATTAATGCAATATGACAGGAAAAAGAAATTGAGCATTTAAGAACTGCAATTTAAGAGAAAAATTTGTCATTATTTACTGATTGTATATGTGTGTATGCAGAAAGCCTAAGAGAATTTGCAGCTAAGCCATTAAAACTAGTAAGAGCATTCAGGAAAGCTGCTAAATATTCACCAATGATGACCAATGAATAATGAAATAAAAACAGATTCTATATATAAGAGAACCAAAATCTAATTTATATGAGAAGGCATCTAACAAAATAGATTCAAGCAATACCTGTATGGTGAGAACCGTAAAACATTAGCAAGGGACATGAAGGGAGATCTGATTAAGTAGAGGAGTGCTAATGGGCAGAAAGATACGGTGTGATAAAAACTGTCAATTTTCACCCAGATTACTCTCTAAAGTTAAGGTAATTACCAAAAAAACATTCAGCAGGGCTTTTGCCAATCTTAACTAGCTAACCCTAAAATTCATATTGAATAGCAAAAGGCCAAGAGGAGCCAAGAGAACTTTAAAGAAAACAATGTAGAGAGATTTACCTTACCAAATAACAAGAATATTATAAGATATGGTAATTTAGGCACTACAGTGTTACTACAAGAATAAACAGTCTATTGGATGAAATGAAGGTCCTAAGAACAGATTTGATGTAGGAGAGAGATGGCATTGCAAATTAGTGGTAAGGATGACTAATTTGTTAAATGTTGCTGGAATAAGGTTATCCACATGAAAAAGAATTAAAACAGGGGCCATGTAAGACACCATATATAAAACAAATGCCAAGAAGATTAGAGATCTAGAAAGGAAAAACTTTAAAACTGTTAGAACAAAATATAGGAAGGTTTCATAATGATTTTAACATATGAAAGGATTTCTTAAATGACACAAAAGCACATATCATAAAGGAAAATACCAATAAATTTAATTGCATTAAAACTAGAAACTCTTAAAAATAAATTCTAGTATAGACACAGTTAAAAGAGAAACTACAAATTGGGAAGAAATATTTTTATTCTGTATTGCCCAAAGGATGGGAATCCGCAATATTACAACAACCAAAACGAAAACCAAAAGCCATCCAAACAACAATAGCAAAACAAATAACCCAAGAGAGAGATGGGCAAAGACACAAATAGACAACTCACATGAGCAAATCCCAATAGGTGATAATTGAAAAAAACTTTTAAGTGAGATATTACTTAATACCTATCTGACAGACAAAAATATAAGAAGTCGTCCCATTCCAAATGTTGTGAAACATATGGAGAAGCTTGTATAGATTGTTCATGTGAATATAAATTGGTAGTATCACTTTGGGGAGACATTTTACAATCCTTAGTAAAGTTGAAAATGCATTATTTCTTACAGTTTAGCAATTCCTCTCTGTGTTTAAATATGCTTAAAAATGTTAACTTTTTAAAATAATGCGGTATTAACTGTGAATAGGAAACACTAGAAATAATGTCTAACAATGAGACTCAATAAATAAATTTTAGTTTTGTGTTCAGTATGATGCATTTTGTATAAGCCATAATATATGTCTTATGTAAAATAATTCTTGATGATAGAAGCCAGAATAGTTTTATTTGTTTTCAACCTTTTGTTAAAGCTTGAGAGCATATCACCTGCAAAGGGATATGAAGGACACTTCCTAGGTATGACGAATGTTTTATATCTTGTATTAGATGTCATATGGATGTAAACTTACACAAAAGTTCATCAAGCTATACACTTAATTTGTGCACTTCACTGTATGTGACTTATAATGGAAAAATAAAAGAAAAAAAGGTTCAGAAATAAATGTCCCAAATTAAGATCTGTTTTACCTGGGTGCAAAGTTCTTGCATGTTCACATTATTCTCTATACTTTTATGTGTTTGAAATATTTTAGATTAAAAGAATTGATAAGACAAAGACTACTACTTTTCTTAACTAGAATTAATCATGGTAAAAGAAAACACTAGGACCATCTTCTCTTCACTGTCCCTGACAACAGATTCCAATATTCCAGGGATCAATAAGCACTTCATAGTCAAACACCCTTAAAAACTAATCATTTCGTTGAATCAAAAGCAAAACTCAATTCACTTCTTGACTAGCTATAAAACCTAGGCTTTCTTAAGTGAGTGACCAGTAGCATATATTGTTGATATGATGCTACCAAGGCACAAAGAACATCCATCCATTTGGATTGTTCAACTGATGAAGTGTGGAATGCTCAACAGGTGGTTTGGCATCCATATGGCTAATTGTTCATGGGTTTCACCTCTGGTTACAGAAAAGAAAAAAGAGACGATACCTTTTCTATGCAGTATTTCAAGTCGACCATATGGAAAGCAAGGTTTTATTCCAACCAATTCTCTTTCTCGCAAAGCATGGAGGAAAAGTGCCAGTCACTGCTACTCTTGCCACCAGCCACGGTACAGATGTTTGGAAAATGCAAAAATGGAGAAATGAAACAAAGAGAAAACCCTCAAAAATAAGTTTTGCATAAATGAAAAATAGAGTATATAATTATCATAGCTAGAAGAAGGTAAATGCATTTTTTTTATTTATCCCCTTGTGTTAAACTAAAAGAACCAAAACAAACAAAACCACTGATGTTTTGACTTAATCAGTATTTTGTTGAAACTGACAATTATGAGAACCAACCAAAACATTGCTAAAAGTGGGAATAAAGAATAGATTTCTTTTAATCTAATAAAAGGTGTTTTATCTCCAAGAATGTTAGACTATGACCTACTTAAATAAGTACTTACTAAAGGAACAGACCCACTTAAAAATATATGTTTTCAGGTGTCTAAATGGGAATGGAGTGTTTCTTTGAAATCTTGTAAGACAAAAAAGATTCACTGAAATTATAACAATTTCTTACACACAACTCAGATAAAATACAGCTTAGAAAGAAACGTCTCCAAACTGTTCAAGTATATATCCCTTAGTTCTTAGCCAGTAGTTATTACAAAAGCAAATATCCTATTAGATTTAAGCACATCAACATAAATTATTCAAATAGGACTGTCTCTGTTTAAAAGAAAGTTTTAAACAATTTAATGTAATTTCTGAGAGAGTATTGTCTGAATTGAAAGTTGGGTCTTGATTTAGGTCCAGCTCTGCCACAATGCTGTTGTGTATCTCTGCTTATGTCATTAAACATCCTTGGGTCTCAGTATCCACATCGCTGAAGTGGGAGTGTGATAGAAAGCCATAGCCCTAGATCAAGCTTCTTTCTTGCCCTAAGAATCTAATGAAATTACTCCAGCATAAGAATTTTTCTTTTCTTCCTCCCTTTGGTGCTTTCTTAAAATAAATAGCCAAATAAACACTCAAATAAGTAAATGTATATTGAAAACACATACACATACACTAATCAGCTATCCCTCTAAATAGGAAGAGGGAACATTTTTGTCGTTGCAATTATCTATTCCCTAATGTGTATTTAAAAAGAGGGTTCCCATAAAAAAGATTTTTATTTTTTTCTGAAATCAAAAAATAGCATATAATTTCTTTGCCATTTAAGTTCTATTAAAAAAGAAAACACAAAATCATTACAGAAATCTTATTAGGAACTTTCAAAAGAAAGAAGACACTAAAACTCCATTTAAAATTCAAATCATTTGTTTCTGTTTTCTTTTACAGAAATGTAAGTGCAGCCTCAAACTACTTTCACTTCCTTTTTCAGGAACAATATACTGAACTGTGTAAAACACTGGACCCTCTTCTCATACTCTTCCCACCTGTCTTCTGAGGTAACAAAGCTGAAGTATAGATTACAGCATGAGATATTTAGGACAGGAGTAAAACATTTCATCTAGGAGACAGCACTGTGGTCAATTTGCCAAATGTACAAGAAAGTTAAGCCCCATCACTATTTTGGCAAGACGTTTGGGTTCTCATGGCTAAACAATGATAATCATTTTTACATAAGACTAGAAAATGAAAGCACCTAGGGCAACAGCCAGAAAATGTCTGAGAATGCAAGGATTTCCCGTCAGTATTTAAACCAGATAAGACACTATCAATGCATCCTTAACGAAGGGTCTAAAAAGAATACAGGGTACCCGACACCTTGGTGAATGAAAGCAGCTCGGCTTTATGAAAAGGCCACAGTATTAGGGCAAATGCTCCATTGTTCCCAGGGCTGATATGCCTATTGCACCAGCAGGGGCAGAGCACTCAAGCAACAGGCAAGGCTCCTGTTACAGGCTCCAGCTCTGGTCTGCATGCTGATAGGCTCGACACCCACCGGATCTGTACATTCTGGGGACACCAAGGGTGGGTCCCCCAGGGTAGGAAGGCTCCTTGAATAGAAAGCCAGGAGTCAGCAGCTGCACAGTGTATGAGCACTCCCTGCTGGCCACCGAGGTTGAGGATGAACCGGTGATGCCTCAGGGCTCACAAAGGTTCCTGTGAGGAGCCTAAGGGGCATACCTCGCTTTTCGGGGATAGAAGCATGGTTCTGATTAGGTTTAGATAGTTCCAGATGTTATAATGAATGAGGAGGAGGTAAGGAGATGCTACTGATAGGCTTGGAGTTCTAAGAATGGGCAAAAACTATGTGTAAGGCTGGTATACGATTTTCATTAATGTTTTCAGCTATTAAAGTTTTATAAAGCGTATATAGGCTTATGCATGGACGTGTGTGTGTGGTGGGGGGGAGGATGGGGTGCAGAAAGAAATGAATTTCTGTTCAGCTCCCTTTATCTCAGGAATCCTGAGACAGTCCAATGTGTTTGCAACATTTACATTTTACTAGGAATTCCCATCCACAACCCTGATGCGTCCCCACCACCTGGTGTGTCCCCTACAGCACTGCCCCTAAACCCTAGACGTGTGGTCCTTGTTTGTCTGACAGGCCTGGGGCAACAATATTGGTATCTCTCCTTGTGCTCTGTTCTGTTGGGGTTCTTCTGTATAATAAAATGAAGGTCAAAATGGCAGTCTGCTAAAAGCAGCAGTATTTCAGTGGCGGGAATAACTTGCTTGTCATCAACTTGTTAATGCAATAGTCAAACGTTTTTTTTGACATGTACAGTATCAGCTAACTTCAGCAGATAAAGGGTCTAAGAACAGGAAGATGCTGCAGATGCTTTAGCTCAGAGGAAGGCTTAGCAGAGCCAAAACGTCAGCAGGGTCTGTTTGTTCCATACTTTCCATCGGGCTCTGTGAAAGAAATGTTAGATTACTGCAATGACAAGTTTGTGACAAGCAAGTCATTTGTGCAACTGGTGCGCTCCTGTTTTTATCTGTTTACCATTCAGACTTGTGAATACCATTTCAAGCACTTACAGGATTTCTGGCTCCTATTAAGGGGAAATGGTTCCTCCATGTTTAGAATTTTCTGCCTCAAAGAGAATTACTAAGCAATTATTTATCCCTGTGGTCACAGTGTCACAAGAAGCACAATCTTGAGTTGTTTAGTTGGATTGAATCATGAAATGGAGTCCTGGGGACTGGATAGCTCGGAGCATCAGAAATTTCTCATCTAGTTTATTGGAATGACTACAAAGCAAGCCTGTGAGAGTCAATAAAATTGTGGCCAGCTTAAAATACCTTGCTCTCTTGCTCTGGGATCATATATCAAGGCCATATGCTTCAAGGCACATCAACTCACTTGTAATGAGTAGATCCTGAGAAGCCAAGGCCTGACTATGTCACAGACATTGACATGTGATCTCACATATGAGGCTTAGTGACAAGGGCTGCTTTAAATGTTGCGAAGGGAATTTACATGGCCTTCTCCCTGTATTCTGTGGGTAAGCACAGAGCCAATCCAAATCCAGAAAAGTTGTGAGTATAAAAAGTAATATCATAATATAAGATTAACACTTGCTATCATCCTCTCTAGGTTGACTTTTTCATAGTATATGGAGACTCTGGCAGGTTTTGAATCAAGAATTCAAGATTATCACATTGGCTTCTTCACCCGAAATCACTGAGTGACCTTTGGTGAGTCATTTCAACCCCGTGGGAGGGAAGGTATAAAATAATAATACCTACTCCTTGTGCACTTGACATGAATGGTCTCAGTGTCAATGTTATAAAAGATGAGCGGATTCAGAACTCAAGAACAAGAATAGTACTTCCCAAAAGTCATGTCTGTGTCCTATTAGTGATTTAAAATTTTGCCTATTTTGGTACTGACTTTATAAATAATTCTAGCTGTACCTGTTAAAGAACATGGAAGCATGAGGTTTGGAAGCAGGGAGATGGCAGGGAGAAGCAGGGCAAAGCTGGACTGGCGGGTGAAATGTCAAGGACCAGACAGAAAGTCATGATGTGGAGGGAGGCAGAGCTTGAAGGTATATGTGACATAGAATGTTACAGAAATGTATGATATCCCTGCTGCATCAAAATTTCATTGTTAATAATCATATGCCAGACACTACATGTGTTATACTATTTACATTTATAATGTAATCTTTACCTAACTCTGTGGTGTATGTATTATTACTTTTTTCACATGGTGGAACCAAAAGTTGGAGAAATTTAAATACTTTACCATCAACCTGTAAGTAGCACAGATTTGAAACTGGTTTTTACTTTCTCTAAAGCTCTTACACTCTTAAGCCATGGAAGACCTAAAGTCATTTCCACTGCCTTCAGAAGACTTTTCTCTTGAGTTTACCAGAAAACATTATAATATGTAAATGTTTAAGAATTCAAGAATTTGAAATAAAAGGGTCAATGAGAGTATTCTGGCTCTAACTGTGTCACATCCCTTCTGAGGCCTCTGGGAAAGCTGAGCACCATCAAGATGTCACTCCTTTCGCCCTGGCCTGACCTGTTCCTACTTTTTTACACTGGGGATGAGGCGAAACTGATTGTAACCTAATCACATATCTCTCTGCCGTGAATGCAGGCTGTTTGGCTGCATCTCCTCATGTCCAATGCCAACTTCTTTCTCTCCCTTCGTGTGTATAGCCTTTACTTCACCCTACGCTCTGCTCCCATGTTACCTCCAGGGAGCCTTCTTTTGTCACTTGTCTGCTATTCTCTTCAGGTGGGGGAAGAGGCAGACATCTTTCTCACCATGACAAGGATTACTGAAACAGTCTAAACTTCAAACTTTGCACAGAATGCATCCTTTGTTCAGTCTTCTGCTTTGTTTCTCTTTAATGATAGCTTTGCCACAGGTCCCATTCGCATGTAACTCAGAGCTATGCAAATCAAACTGGTGAGCAAGACTTTGCAACTACTGTATCTTAAAATAAATGTGTCCAAGGGAGTCCAAGGTGGAAACCTCTGAGTGAGGCATATTTTCTGAATATTATATGTTTAATGGAGGCTCTTCTTGTATGAGTGGCAAAGAATAGATCTGCATCAATATTCTCTTGTGTCTTTTTACTGTGTGTTCAGAGATCACAAGAGGTTTTAGCTCACACAAATGGAATGATAT